CCACATTTGTGGAACAATGCATGAGAAGAGTCTGGATTGTCCTGAGCGTGGTGTAGGCACTGCTAGCCGACCATCCTGTGATGACCGGAGCGGCCGGGCCGAGACGTAAGCCTTTGCAAGAGGATTCCGTGTCTTCAATGACATTTTTATGGCTACTAATTCTGGCTCCTATGCTGTGTTATTACTTCTCGATCTGTCCGCCGCCTTTGACACCGTCGACCATGACGTCCTTTTATTACGTTTAGAGGAGGTTGCTGCAATACGTGGTCCAGCCCCAACTTGGTTTAGGTCTTATTTGTCTAACAGGTCCCAATGGGTGGTATTGAACAACATCCCATCTCGCTCTGCTCCTCTCTCGTGTGGGGTCCCGCAGGGATCTATTCTGGGCCCTTTGTTGTTTTGTCTTTACCTCCTTCCCCTCAGCTTAATTCTAAAAAAACACTGTGTTCAATATCACTTATATGCTGACGACTGTCAGATTTACATGTCGGTGAAACCCCAGCAATCCATCCAGCCTCTTCTGGATTGCCTACGTGATGTGAAATGTTGGCTGGCCACAAATTTTCTGCATCTCAATGATTCCAAGACCGAACTGATCCTGTTTAATCCGGTCAGGTCTAGCTCATTCCAAACCCCAGATCTTTCATCTGTTTCGCGAAATCTAAAAACCGTTGTGACAAACCTGGGTGTGAAAATGGATTCATCTCTAAGGATGGATGCCCAGGTCAATGCCACTGTAAAATCTTGTTTTTTCCAACTCCGCCATCTGTACAAATTAAGAGCTGTTTTATCTAGGAAAAATTTGGAATCAGTTGTTCATGCCTTCATCACATCTAGGCTCGACTACTCAAATGCAATTTTGCTGGGTGTCAATAAGTCAACCTTTGCCCGACTTCAACTCGTTCAAAATGCAGATGCTAGATTACTAACGCGTACTGACAGGCGCCAGCATATAACACCAGTTCTCAAATCCCTTCACTCTCAGGGTCCAATATAAAATGCTACTTTTTGTTTTCAAATCCCTCCATGGTCTTGCCCCTGTGTATTTATCTGATCTTCTTTCAATTTATACTCCCGGTCGCACACTCAGGTCCTCCAGCCTGTTGCTCCTCAAGGTCCCAAAAGCGTGTTACAAATCATGCGGACAAAGAGCTTTCTCTGTCGCGGGTCCTAAACTGTGGAACGAACATCCAGTAAGTTCGACTGGCATCCACCTTGGCAGATTTTAAGTCTAGACTAAAGACACACAATTTTACCCTTGCTTTTAATAGTTAGCTGTTAGTTTGGTTTTTACTACTCTTATTTTATCATCCATTGTAAGGTTTTTATTGGTACTTTTTTTATCGGCTTGTCTTTTTTATTGTTGGTTGTATTTCATAGTACTGTTTTATGTTTTCTATCTCTGTAATTGTGCGACTGTTGAGCACTTTGGTCAGCCGTATGGCTGTGTTTTTAAAGTGCTGTATAAATAAAGGTGGTATAGTATGGTATGGTATAGGATTCAGGTAGATGGGAGCCGTACCATCTCGGACTTTGTATGCTAGTGTTAGCTATTTGAATTCGATGCATGCTGCTAGCGGTAGCCAGTGGAGCTCAATGAACAGAGGGGTGATGTGTGCTCTTTTAGGCTGATTGAAGACCAGACGCGCCGCTGCGTTCTGGACCATTTGAAGAGGTCTCACAGTACAGCCTGGAAGACCAGTTAGAAGGGCGTTGCAGTAATCGAGGCGGGAGATGACAGTAGATTGCACCAGGAGCTGGGTGGCATGTTGTGTTAGGTATGGTCTGATCTTTCGTATGTTATACAACGCAAAGCGGCATGAACGAGCAACAGAGGCAACATGATCTTTAAAGGTCAGGTGTTCATCAATCACAACACCCAGATTTCCAACTGCCTTTGAAGGAGCCAGAGATAGGAAGTCATTCTGGATTGAGATATTGTGCTGTATGGATGGTTTTGCTGGGATGACAAGTAGTTCAGTTTAAGAGAGGTTGAGTTGGAGATGATGGGATTTCATCCATTTTGATATGTCAGAGAGACAGTTTGATATTCGTGCAGGGACAGTGTGGTCGTCTGGTGGAAATGACAGATAGAGCTGGGTGTCGTCTGCATAGCAGTGGTAGGAGAAGCCATTTGATAGAATGATCTCACCCAGTGAGGTGGTGTATATGGCAAAGAGAAGATGTCCTAGTACAGAGCCCTGGGGGACTCCTGTGGCAAGATGGTGCACGGTAGAGGATTGTCCAAGCCAAGATACACTGAATGATCGTCCTGTGAGGTACGATTCAAACCAGGCGTGTGCTTTCTCTGTGATGCCCATGCTAGAGAGTGGACAAAAGGAAGCAATGTTTGACAGTGTCACATGCAGCCGATAGGTCGAGCAGGAGAAGCACTGAGGATTTGGCAGTCACTCTAGCTTCTTTTAAGGATTCCCTCACTGCTAACAGAGCAGTTTCAGTGGAGTGGCCCTTTGTGAACCCAGATTGGTAAGGGTCAAGGAGACAGTTTTGTGAGAGGTATTCTGTGATCTGCTTGAAAGCCACCCTTTCAATGATTTTGGACAGAAAATGGAGGAGAGAGATAGGATGGTAGTTCTCCACATGATTTGGAGGAAGAGATGGGTTTTTTTTTTTAGCAGCGGTTTAACCTGAACATGCTTGAGAGAGGTGGGAAATGTACCGGATGTCAGTGAAGCGTTGGTCACATGTGTGACTGCTGTGGCTACTGTAGGAGCAATAGCTTGGAGCAGCTTAGTCGGAATGGGGTCAAGTGGACATGTAGTAGGGCGGCTGCACGTGAGAAGCTTGGACACACAGTTCTCAGTGAGAGGGGAACAAGAGGAAAACGAGGCAGTAGGGCCTGAGATGGTTGGGCTAGAAGGAGTTTGTGGAGTTTGTGGTAGCAAATGTTCAGGAGACTAGTTAGAGCTGCCTGACTAGTTAGAGCTGCCAGACTAGTTAGAGCTACTTGACTGGTTTGAGCTGCCTGACTAGTTAGAGTTGCCAGACTAGTTAGAGCTACTTGACTAGTTAGAGCTAATTGGGTCGTTAGAGATACCTGACTGGTTAGTTACCTGACTAGTTAGAACTACTTCACTAGTTAGACCTACTTGACTAGTTAGAGCTAATTGACTCGTTAGAGCTACCTGACTGGTTAGAGCTACTTGACTAGGTAGAGCTACCTGACTGGTTAAAGTTACCTGACTAGTTAGAGTTACTTGACTAGGTAGAGCTTCCTGACTGGTTAGAGCTACTTGACTAGGTAGAGCTACCTGACTGGTTAAAGTTACCTGACTAGTTAGAGCTACTTGACTAGGTAGAGCTACCTGACTGGTTAGAGTTAACTGACTAGTTAGAGCTACCTGACTAGTTAGAGCTAATTGACTAGTTAGAGCTACTTGACTAGGTAGAGCTACCTGACTAGTTAGAGCTAATTGACTAGTTAGAGCTACTTGACTAGGTAGAGCTACCTGACTAGGTAGAGCTACTTGACTTGTTAGAGCTACTTGACTAGGTAGAGCTACCGGAATGGTTAAAGTTACCTGACTAGTTAGAGCTACTTGACTCGTTAGAGCTACTTGACTAGGTAGAACTACCTGACTGGTTAGAGCTACTTGACTAGGTAGTTACCTGACTAGTTAGAGCTACTTGACTAGGTAGAGCTACCTGACTGGTTAGAGCTACTTGACTAGTTAGAGCTACTTGACTAGGTAGAGTTACCTGACTAGTTAGAGCTACTCGACTAGTTAGAGCTACTTGACTAGGTAGAGTTACCTGACTAGTTAGAGCTACTCGACTAGGTAGAGCTACCTGACTGGTTAGAGCTGCTTGACTAGTTAGAGATACTTGACTAGGTAGAGTTACCTGACTAGTTAGAGCTACTCGACTAGTTAGAGCTACTTGACTAGGTAGAGTTACCTGACTAGTTAGAGCTACTTGACTAGGTAGAGCTACTTGACTGGTTAGAGCTGCTTGACTAGTTAGAGCTACTTGACTAGGCAGAGTTACTTGACCAGTTAGAGCTACTCGACTAGTTAGAGCTACTTGACTAGGTAGAGTTACCTGACTAGTTAGAGCTACTTGACTAGGTAGAGTTACCTGACTAGTTAGAGCTACTTGACTAGGTAGAGCTACTTGACTGGTTAGAGCTGCTTGACTAGTTAGAGCTACTTGACTAGGCAGAGTTACCTGACCAGTTAGAGCTACTCGACTAGTTAGAGCTACTTGACTAGTTAGAGCTACTCGACTAGTTAGAGCTACTTGACTAGGTAGAGTTACCTGACTAGTTAGAGCTACTTGACTAGGTAGCGCTACTTGACTGGTTAGAGCTGCTTGACTAGTTAGAGCTACTTGAATAGGCAGAGTTACCTGACCAGTTAGAGCTACTCGACTAGTTAGAGCTACTTGACTAGTTAGAGCTACTCGACTAGTTAGAGCTACTTGACTAGTTAGAGCTACTCGACTAGTTAGAGCTACTTGACTAGGCAGAGTTACCTGACCAGTTAGAGCTACTCGACTAGTTAGAGCTACTTGACTAGGTAGAGTTACCTGACTAGTTAGAGCTACTTGACTAGGTAGTGCTACTTGACTGGTTGGGCTGTTTTTAATTATTTTGGTGTGACGTATCCCAAAGTTTGGGCTGACTAAATAAAAAGACTAAATGCGCCCAAAATAAATTCCTTAGCTTTAATCAGATTTTGAGCTGCGTTTCCATGGTAACACTGTCCTCACTCTTGGCTGCTCTCTGGCCCGTTGTTGATCAAACAGAAGCGACTGCTCGTCTGCATCACTACAGATGGTGTTGGCTGTGTTGCTTCGTCCCTCTTGTTCTCGCCCAGACTGTACGTGTCTGATCACACACACACACACACACACACACACACACACACACACACACACACACACACACACACACACACACACACACACACACACACACACACACAGCAGAAGGAGGCATGTCCAACAGCGCCCCCTCCAGCTCACTTGCTGACACTTACTGAACTGGGGCTGGAGTGTCTGCGTAGTTTTGGCGACTCTTTGCCGCTAGACGAGCTCTTGGCGTTGATGCAGGCATTGTTCTCTGAGTGGACCCTCTTCACCTGGCTGGTGGGCTTCTCAAACGGGTCGAAGCTGCTCTGTGTGCGCTGAACTCTCACCTTCTTGTCTTCAGGGATGGTGTCTAGGGGCTTGATGAGCGAGTCTGTTCCCTGGCAGCCGCGTGTGGACATCTTTGTGACACATATCTGTAGAACAGGAAGACAGGAATGTGAGAAACCAGGCAGAAATAATAAAATCCTCCTAATTGTGAGACTACTAATGCACATCTAAACAGATTTGCTTGTGTCTGTTCTCTTTCGTGGATTCGTCTCCATCTACAGGATCACTTGTAAGTCGCTTGTGGACAAAAGCGTCTGCTAAATACTTAAACATGAACATACATGAACATACAGGAACTTCAGTCTGCCGTCAGCTCTGCAGCACATTCTCACATGTACATTTCATCTCCAGCATACATCAACACACCTTTACACGTCACAGGCTGATTCACTGCAGCCCCCCCGTGTCTGTTCTCACCACAAAGCCCCTCACCAGAGGCTCCGTCTCCACGATGATGGATCCATGCAGGACCCAGGCAACAGGACATGTTTGTACCACGGCTCCTGCAGGAGGAACTTCTGACTACGCTAACAGCAACTACTACTCACCACTATCTCACCACTTTACTCACTCCAATCCTTTAGGAGATACATTGTTCCCATTGTTAGGATTCTGGAACATCGTTAAAATCACACATGAAACCCACCGATTCTACAGACTAAGCATCTGAACAGGTCCGCTTGTAAAACGAGTTAAGAAGTCCGAAGGAACTTATGGTGGGGAAGAGGAAGTATTAGTTCAGGTCCCACAGACAGGAAATTCTGTTTAAAACACATTTGTGTTGCAGTCCTCTAACTGGGACTCCAGCTGAAATCCACAGGACCGAGGAGAGTTTTCCTCTCCACTGTCGCTGCATGCTTGCTTAGTATAAGGTTTGCTGTAAAGTCTCTAGTCAGTGACTCGATGCGACCTGCTGAAACTTGTTACTGATTGGCTTAATGGCCTGACCTGTATTGGGGTGTTTACTGTGTGAAGGTCCTTGAGACGACTCTGGTCCTGACTCGGCACTTTAGAAATAAACTGAAAACCAGTAACTAACTACTCCTAAGTGTAAAACAGGAATGTGGTGGATCCTTCTGCTCTGATAACTAATGTCTGTCATTGATCCGAACGCTGAAAGTGGTCCAACATTTACAGTCTGGTCATTTCTCTGGTGGCTGCTCAGCAAACCGTTAACTTTTCCTGCAGATCCAGTGTGAACAGCTCTTCTAGCAGGTGAACCTGACCAGGCCCAGCACTGTCCCTGTGTGTGTGTGTGTGTGTGTGTGTGTGTGTGTGTGTGTGTGTGTGTGTGTGTGTGTGTGTGTGTGTGTGTGTGTGTGTGTGTGTGTGTGTGTGTGTGTGTGTGTGTGTGTGTGTGTGTGTGTGTGTGTGCTTGGATGTGTGTGTGTGTGTGTGTGTGTGTGTGTGTGTGCTTGGATGTGTGTGTGTGTGTGTGTGTGTGTGTGTGTGTGTGTGTGTGTGTGTGTGTGTGTGTGTGTGTGTGTGTGTGTGTGTGTGTGTGTGTGTGTGTGTGTGTGTGTGTGTGCTTGGATGTGTGTGTGTGTGTGTGTGTGTGTGTGTGTGTGTGTGTGTGTGTGCTTGGATGTGTGTGTGTGTTGGGTTTCCTGGAAAGTGCAAAAGGATCCTAACCCCTAGATGAACCACAGCTAGAGACCTTTACCTCTGAAACACATCCTGGCTGCAACATGCAGGTGAGAACCACCGATTATCAGTTCATGCCTCGTTTTACGGAGCATCAGGTTTTAATAATCGTCACTGACCTTACTGATTTCTAAAAGGGTCAGACTTCCTGATTCTCGGACCTATTTTATCTACATGTTGGTTGACTAAGCAGAAGCGGTTTCACTCACTCACAAACATAATGAAATGTGAATATAACTAAATATTACAAGAAATAAAAGTGAAACATTTGTTCCACAGAACAAACCGATGACACAGTAATATTTAAGCTTTGGTACCATCGTAACACTCTGGTATTGTTGCCGGGGGTCATTACTCCGTCAGAATCCCGCTGCAGGAGCGCCTGCTGAGACAGAACACAGGAACCAGAAACACTGAGGTCCAAAGCACACGGAGATGTTCCACATGGAAAACATCCCGTCAATGTCAGCCATCAAGGTCACAAACAGCCCAGTTAGATCTTCTACCAGCGAACCTGCAGGTGAAACAACTGAGGCAGTGTACGTACGACCTACAGTTCATCTATCATGTAAAGTGATTTGAGGGGTCAGATCATTTAGTTTAGCCACATCGCACCATGCTGGTGGTTTGTGTCAGCTCAGGCCTTCTGGAGACAAGCACCATGATAAATACTCTCCCACAGACTCATGCATCTACCCACGCACCCACCCACCTACCTACCTACCTACCTACCTACCCACCCACCCACCCACCTACCCACCTTCCTGCCTGCCTACCTACCTACCTACCTACCTACCCACCCACCAACCCACCTACCCACCTTCCTGCCTGCCTACCTACAGTACCTACCCACCTACATACCTACCTACCCACCCACCTACCTACCTACCTACCTACCTACCTACCTACCTACCTACCCACCCACCCACCCACCCACCCACCTACCCGCCTTCCTGCCTGCCTGCCTACCTACCTACCTACCTACCTACCTACCTACAGTACCTACCCACCTACATACCTACCTACCCACCCACCTACCCACCTTCCTGCCTGCCTGCCTGCCTACCTACCTACCTACCTACCTACCTACCTACCTACCTACCTACCTACCTACCTACCTACCTACCTACCTACCTACCTACCTACCTACAGTACCTACCCACCTACATACCTACCTACCCACCCACCTACCCACCCACCTACCCACCTACCTACCTACCTACCTACCTACCTACCTACCTACCTACCTAACTAACTAACTAACTAATAGGGAGCCACGAGGCCTTGTATGGAAGCCTCTTGATGACCTGCCAGATCCCACCAGGACAGTAAACCACAGCTGTATTGATTGAGGTGTAAGTACCCCCCCCACGCGCGCACGCACACACGCGCATGCACGCACACACACACACACACACACGCACACACACACAGTCATTAAAACTGTACAATAACAAAGATGAACAGCGCTGTTTTCCATCTATAATTGATTGTGGGATGACGCCGTGACCCCGCCGTGACCCCGCCGGCCCACAGGAATCGTTTAGCATTCATCTTTTCTTGTAGCTGTCATAAAGTAATGGAAGATGTGGGCACCAGCGCAGCAGGCAAGCTCAGCCTAATCCAACTACCTCCAGAGGAGTAGTTACTGATGGCATCAGCCTGAATGATGACAAGAACCATGGAGGCCATTAAAGAGCAATCAGCCACAGAGCCTGGTGGTTAAGTCAAGGCTATCAGCCATGTTAAGCTGGCCTCGTTCAGCACTCACCGTAGCATGACTGCATTTCCATCACGCTGAGACAAAGCAGAGCTATCTGTTGCCTGGGCTCATCGTTTCAAGCTTAAGATGATAGCAAGACGATCCGCCGGAGAAGAGGGTGGAAAAAACACCTCATCCTCCTCCCATTCACACCGTCGGAGGAGCACAAAGCTTTGTTTCCTTGTGCCTGAGTGGCAGATGGTGTGTGTGTGTGTGTGTGTGTGTGTGTGTGTGTGTGTGTGTGTGTGTGTGTGTGTGTGTGTGTGTGTGTTTAAATATATCTGGGACCTCCACAAACAAAACAGCTTCTGTTTTCATGGAGCCTTCTGTAACAAATCTGAGTTACTGATGATCACCCATCAGTGACTAACTTTACCAAGGCACTGTAGCACCAGAACGTTAAACGCCTGTTTAAACTTAAAGATATCGGCCAGAGGCAAAATTCCTCTGAACAGCGTGTGTAAAGAAGTATTAAAACCTCAGATGAAAAAGGTTTTTGGATTTTCACGGCTGGAATTTAAAGAAAATCTGATGTTTGTGACCGGCGCAGGAAAAACAGAAGCTAACTTCCGGTCTAAGCCCTGGGCAGCTGGTGACGTTTCACATGGAGCTCTGCTGAAACAGCTGTAGTAAACAACGCCTGACTCCGGTGATTGTGCGTTAGCGTTATAGCAGAACAACGTGTCATCAGTCAGATGTAGCTTCTGAAGCCTCTGCTAGTCGCTCACATTTGGTTTTTCTCTGGGACACGGCGAGCAGAACGGATTACCGGAGACGTTCAACCGAACTCCGTGCCCTGCAGCTGGATATCAGAACCGGAGGTGCAGACATGCTTTGGACCGTTTCACTCAGAAAACCCGCGGCCCGATTAGGACACCGGGGACGATTCTGTTGTCTTCAGAACCAAAACCGGTACAGTTTGTTAAAGTTTGTTAAATATTTCATGTCTGCTCCACCGTAGCTTTCAGTTAAGTTCTCAGCTGATTAGCTCCATCATGTTGTCCCAAAACAATTCAGTCATCTACAGACGAGTGAACGTGTTGCCAGCTTCACCGCTGGGTGTATTTATTAATATAACATCGGAAAATATTTAGCCGATTGCTTACCAGAATAAATCTTCCTGATGCTAACTCGCTAGCTCGGTTCGTTGTTTTGTAATCCAGGATGACACGGAGGTTCTACCGGTCCTATAGGAGGTTCTACCGGCCCTATAGGAGGTTCTACCGGTCCTATAGGAGGTTCTACCGGCCCTATAGGAGATTCTACCGGTCCTATAGGAGGTTCTACCGGCCCTATAGGAGGTTCTACCGGCCCTATAGGAGGTTCTACCGGTCCTATAGGAGGTTCTACCGGCCCTATAGGAGGTTCTACCGGTCCTATAGGAGGTTCTACCGGTCCTATAGGAGGTTCTACCGGTCCTATAGGAGGTTCTACCGGCCCTATAGGAGGTTCTACCGGTCCTATAGGAGGTTCTACCGGTCCTATAGGAGGTTCTACCGGCCCTATAGGAGGTTCTACCGGTCCTATAGGAGGTTCTACCGGCTCTATAGGAGGTTCTACCGGCCCTATAGGAGGTTCTACCGGCTCTATAGGAGGTTCTACCGGCCCTATAGGAGGTTCTACCGGCCCTATAGGAGGTTCTACCGGTCCTATAGGAGGTTCTACCGGTCCTATAGGAGGTTCTACCGGCCCTATAGGAGGTTCTACCGGTCCTATAGGAGGTTCTACCGGCTCTATAGGAGGTTCTACCGGTCCTATAGGAGGTTCTACCGGCTCTATAGGAGGTTCTACCGGCCCTATAGGAGGTTCTACCGGCCCTATAGGAGGTTCTACCGGTCCTATAGGAGGTTCTACCGGCTCTATAGGAGGTTCTACCGGCCCTATAGGAGGTTCTACCGGTCCTATAGGAGGTTCTACCGGCTCTATAGGAGGTTCTACCGGCCCTATAGGAGGTTCTACCGGTCCTATAGGAGGTTCTACTGGTCCTATAGGAGGTTGAAAAATGGGGATCATCTTTTAGATTGTATCTGTGTGTGTGTGTGTGTGTGTGTGTGTGTGTGTGTGTGTGTGTGTGTGTGTGTGTGTGTGTGTGGTAGCTTTCACAAATGACTTGTTCTTTACCGGAGCTAACACGGTTAGCGCTGCGGCTGTCGTGCTAACGGGACTCACCTGCTGGAGTCCAGAAGTACCAGTGCGGTTCTAGATGGATTCATAGATGTAGGTTATTATTTTAGATCAAACCTGTTAGTTAAAAATACGTGTAGGACACGGGCATGTAGCTCAGACCTTTAGCTGCAGCTATAAACACAATTTTCTGTTTTAATTAGGAACACGATAGTAAACACAGTACAGTGATTTACCATGCTAGCAACAGCAGCTAGCTAGTATGACGTGTGTGAGTGATGTGTGCAAAACATGGTTCTTCACTGCCTGAAGGAGAAAATTTTGATTTACTATAAAGATTTATGACTAAATTCCTGAACAAAATAAAAAACTGAACCCAGTTCATATTTATGTAGATGGTAAAGTGTTGTTATCTGTATTTCTACTATTTTAATGCTGTCTGGCCACTGCCTCTAAGCCTGCTGCACCAGAACGTTAAATGCCAATTAAGTGTGTTTTCCTACAGAGCATCGCCCCCCTCAGATATTTAATTAACCTGCTGAATGTAAACGTAGACCAAGTGTACCGCCACAGCTCAGTGGAAAGATCAACACCTATGTTTTATTAATGCTGAGACAAAACCAGGAGCTTCATGAAGGTGAAACAACAAACGTTCACAAGGCTGCAAACAGCAACACGTCCCAGAGGGTTTTACATCCAGACCACCTGAAAGTGGGATCCTAAACACATAAACTACCTTGTTTCCAGTGGCGGGCGGCTGCTGATAGTTTTATTTTGGCGGGACATAATTTAACAGGTGTGTGGAAAAGAGCATGCCAGCTGAGATTTGCATGACCCGTTAATCAGGTTTATTTAATAAATGCGTTTCTTATCCATGATGGTTTACTGCTTTTACGATTGTCTTCTTGGTTTGATTTCATTTTAACTTGTTTTTCTGTTCAGTTGTTGTTAAAATGTTTTTAAGTTTTATTGTTCTGGTGGCATGTCCTTGTCTGTAAGGCGCTGTATGAATTAAAGTTGAGTTACAAAACAATGGTTTATGGGCAGATAAATAAAGAAATGACAGTTTATTAAAGAAAATCTTAAAACATTTGTCATTTTGAGTCACATTCCTGGGTTTTTAAACAAACATCAGAATTCACGTAGGCAGAAAAAAAAACAAAAATATTCTCTAATGTGTTTAAAAAACGTGTCAAAAACATGAATATTTAATCATTTCATGATTCAGGAGAAACACAGATTAGAAAAGTGATGACATCATTAGCCTCACCGCTCCTCTTTTTAACTCATTCACTGCCACTGACAACTAAAGTCGTCATTTGCATTTTTTTTTACTGTGTGGGCGTCGGACGAGCCCCCGCGCTGAGAGAACAAACATCTCAGCTCTAAAGCTGATCTTCATCCACATACGTCACACGTCACGTGATCAGGAAGCAGAACATCCATGTGTTAGGAGATCGTTTTGGGCCGCTGCTGTAAAAAAAGGTAAGGCACGAACCGGAAAAGCGTCTGCCGATCACAATTCAACAACGGATTATGAAAGAACGGATAACGCTTGAAACGTGCGTATTCTTCCTGATGTGAGAAGTGAGACTCCGCTTTGTTTTGGCTGTTTTGGCTGTTTTGGCGTCGACATCATCCTAGCGTGCAACGTTCTGTGACTCTAAAGTAAACAGTAACAACGGTGAGAAATGCTGGCAGCGAAGGGCTTTACCGATCAGGAAACGGTCGGCAGCGAATGAGT